GGGGGGGGGGGGGGGGGGGCCCGCCCCCCCCCCCCCCCTGCTCCCCCGGAGGCTACGGCCCTGCAAAATAAGACGATGGAAAGACAGCGCCTTAAGCTTTTTTTTTAGAGTTTACATTGTTGGTATGTAATTTTTTCTGTCGGAGGATGGAACAACAAATATAATTTGGAAGACTGTCAGAAAATATCTCTGGATCCGCCCCTTGTAATATAGAGACGTTTTGTTTTTGAAAACGAAATAGTCTCACCTTATAATTATAGACTCTTTTCATATATTTTCCTCCGTTGAAAAAAACTTTGGTCAACATTGACCAACAGAGTATAATGAGCTTACTTGTGTTTGTTTCGTTTTTTTAACAGGAGAAAATATTCGAACTAAAAATTATGCTTTCATTATTGATCGCAATGCTGTCTTGAATAATGCTTTTGCTAAATATCTTATGGGTCACTAAACTCCCATCGCTTCCGCTGCGAAGTGCAGTCAAAATACACAAAATATGTGCAAAATGACTCGAATAAATAAATGGGTTTTGTGCTATTGAAAAGTTAATAAAATAATTACAGGTGATACGACCGTGAGAATATATCCAAGTTAAATGGGCATGTGTTATTTTGGTATGTTGATGTTGAACTTTACTAGTGCAATTTATATACTCAGTGGTGGATTTAGAGGGGGGTCAGGGGGGTTCTACCCCCCTTGGGTTTCTGAAAAAAAAACACACAAATATTCCATTCTTGAAATAAGAATTTTGACAAGCTGATTAATAGTTCTTAAACATTCCAAATGGGACCCTTTGCCCTCCAAAACACTCCAAGGGGGCCGAGGGTCGGCTTCGTATCCGAGGCCTGTCATTCCTAAATAATCCTGGATCCGCCCCTAATAGGCCTACTTCAATTAGCTATTAGGCTCTTTAAAGTCTGTTTTTACCTAGTTTATATGATACAAGTGTCAGTAACAAATACGATCAAACTAATCCGACTTTATCCACCTCTAACTTTTCAGAAAGTTTCCTTAAAAGACAAGAATTTAAGGAAAGAGCAAAAGCACAGAGGAAAGATAAAGAAAAAATGAAAGAGAAAATAAATCAACTTGAAGAAGAACTAAGAATTTTGAAAACTCAGATAGGTCCCACAAAGGAAATTGAGTTTTCCCATGCACCATATGTCGGAAAGGCAGTCCAAATCAAATTGCAAGTAGATGCTTTGGTAAATGATTTTACTGACAGAGAACAATGCCATCTAAAGAAAATTGATGATCAGAAAGATCTGATCAGACTCAAAAACGAGACAATCTGTGATTTGCAACAAGAACTACTCAATCTAAAAAAAGAACTGACTGTTGTCGAAAAGAAAAACCAAAACGAAATTTCGGAACTAAAAAATCAACATTCGGAGCTGTTGAATAATTTTGCAAAGGAAAAAGAAGGACAAATAAAAGATGTACACGCCAAAATAAAATCAATGCAGAAGGAGTACATTTTAGATGGATGCGCTCGATCAGAATTGACAGGTATTAAAAGACAGAATCAACAGTTGAGTGGACAGATAGAGCGTCTCTCTGCAGAGCATGGGAAACTATTGTCAAATAATTCAGAGCTTGAGAAAACGAAAGAAGACGAACGCCGGAGATTTGACGAAGACAGAGAACGCTGGGAAAAGGAGAAGCGTGAACTGACGGAGGAGCTGTGGAAAATGAGAATGGAAAAAGAAACGCCGAGGTACCCCCTTGTAACAAGACAAAGAAGAAACCTATCTAAACTGTCTGTATACCAACAGGATGGAACCGACGCTCGAAAACGCAAAAGACAACGGAACGACGACTGATTTGTTGATTAAAATCGAAACCTTCTCTATTGTGTTGGTATTTGTCATCAAAACTTTTAGTTCACGAGAGTTAATTTAATGTGTTGACAATAATATTACATGTACATGTAACTGCAATTATCATTGGATAGTTAAATGTACCATACGTTTTTTCAATCGTGGTGAAATGGCAGATTTGGCTAGATGTGTTTAACTGGCAGCAATCATAAATACGGGAAATGCAGTACTATACACATGCAATGTAGATGGCAAGATGAACGACAGGTGCAAATGCCTTGAATCTATTTATTCCATTTATACATGCCCTTTTTCTTGCGTTTTGTGCATTAATTGTTTAAATTTCACTGTGACTTGCTTGTCTATCATGACGCTGGGAAATATTATGATGTAATGTGCGCTTTATTTTTTGCTTGTAATAAAATTTGATTGATCAAAACAAGACATATTTTAATTATGTAATACTTGTATTAAAATCGAGAACATATATATCGGCGATTGAACAAGAAAAGAGCGATGACAGTTTATTACTTCTAAGATAAGAGATAAGAGTATATAACATTACTTCCTAGGAATGTACCTATCTATCATTTATACATTAATTGCCATAAACGCAGAGGCGCAGAGCAAATCGAGGCGGAATTTCATTACTACTTTTGTATCCTATACACCTCACCCTGCACACACCCAATCACTTCTTGGAGCGTTATTTTCTAGCACACTCTCAAACAAGAAGTAGAAAACGCTTTAGATGGCCTTACGTACATGATACAATTCAATCCCTACATTCCGATAGGAGCGGCCCGAGGTTATAAGATATATTGATATTAAAATCGAACATTATGTCAAAGAAAGGATGGCTACAAAGTATTAATCAAATTAGAATGCTTTGATGAATTGAAACTTTTAAAATCTGAAAATGAATAAATTACTTTTCAACAAAAGAATTACTTACAAAACGTGACGGGAGCTTTTCATGACGAAAAAACGTAACGTGACGTCACAGCCAAGCACAACGTCACAACCGGCTGCATGGTGTTGATTTTATCACCATAGTTTCTTCACGTGACGCTACAGACAGTAACCATAGCAAAATATCATTTCGTGGAGGCCGACATTGAAAAGAAGCGACGACAAAGAAAATGGAATCCCCTGGACCACCACCAAGAATATCCAGCGCCACAAGTCCACATCATTTGTGTGACGAATTACAAAAGATGCAAAACGAATGTGAACCAGTATCTCTGAAACGGGACCACGATTTGATGCCTGTTGCGGGATATAGGCCTACCTATCGTGCAATATTAGCCAGGAGGGGATATTTAGTCAGAGAAACGCTGGGAAGCGGCTCCTACTCAAAAGTGAAGTTTGCTCTTGCCTTTCGGAAATCGGTCAATGAAAAAGTTGCCGTGAAGATAATAGATAAACAGCGAGCGCCTGTAGATTTCCAACTGAAGTTTTTACCCAGAGAAATGCAAATTTGGCCCAGCCTGTCTCATCCTCATATAGTTAAAATGTTAGAACAATTTGAAAACAACAATAGAATCTTTATGATACTTGAATATGCTGACAACGGGGATATGCTAAAATTTATACAAAAGAAAGGGGCAATATCCGAAAGCAAGACTTTTGTATGGATGCGCCAGGTCTCTGATGCCGTGCGGTATTTACACGAACAGGGAATAAGTCACAGAGACCTGAAATTGGAAAATTTGTTGTTGGATTCTAACATGAATATGAAAATTTGCGACTTTGGCTTTGCGAAGCCGGAGAGTATGAAGGAACTCAGCAAGACCTACTGCGGGTCTAAGGCATATGCTGCTCCTGAGATCCTTATAGGGCTACCCTACCAACCTTTCAAGGCAGATGTTTGGGCACTTGGTAAGTTAAGCTTTTCTTCTTCTACATTGTAAATAAATAAATAATAAATAAATAAATAATGTGAAAAATCGAAGTGTTGTGTATTCAAATACAATTCATTGAAAAGGCATCAAGAAACAATTTGAGTAGTATACAGTTTGAAAAACGTTTTCCCCGCCGTGAAAAAAATTCCCATTACTTACTAGAGGTCATGAGATACATATGCCTGTCGTTTAAAAAATACGTCCATTTTTATTTGTTCATAATTAGGAGTGATTTTATACATCATGGTCACCGGGAAAATGCCGTTCGACGAGAGCAAAGGGAATTCAAGTCTTCTGGACGAACATCGGCGACTATCTCTTTACTGGCCAGGCAGGCAGAGGAAAGTTTCGTTGCAGGTTGTTGCTCTTGTCAAATATGCATTTACCTTTGACTACAGAAGACGGCCAAACATACAGGAATTCATTTCACATCCATGGTTTTCTCACCAAGCCTTTCGGCTGCTGGGATCGAACGGAGACACCCGAGTCCGAACGAGGTCAAGGTGTAAAAGTCAACAAGTGAGTGCTGAGAGTGAAGAGAGAGCCGCTTGTCAGAGTCCACGAAAAGAAGATGGAGACACAGCAGAGCGTCTGATCGCACCATAAAAACATGAAAGGCGAGTCAGAATTGTTACAGATTACAGTTACTGGGCCACAGAAGACGGCTGAGCAGAAAAGGGCTGGATGTTATTATATAAAATATGTGTGGTAGTTTTGTTAAAAGAAATATTTATCTATTATGTTTTTTGTGATAAAAATCTACTTTCTAATCATATTTACAGCAATACATTTTATAGAATACTATCATCTTTATCAAAAGGTGAAAATTTTATATAAAATGTAAAGGATGTGCCTTTTAAGTATAGTGGTGAATACTTTTTAGAATTTAAATATTTTATATCTTCATACACATGAAACTTCTTTAAAAATTTTACCTGAAAAAAAATACAGTCTCAGAGTTTTGGTTTATAAATTTATTCTATACATCATTATAAACGTATTATAATAAAGCGAGATAAATAAAATGAACAAATGTTGTGTACCTTTTTTCACAAAACTTCTACAAAAACATGAAAACAATACAATTTTCAAAGCTAAAATAAGACTACTATATGAAGTACTACCAAACACTAAGTCATGCAGAGAAATCAGTTACAGACTTTGCACCACTGAATGATATTTTTCTGTAAATTGACATCATAAAAACAATTTGCCATATATCTCATTTCTTCTTAAAATAAATAGAACACATATAAACCCCTGCACTTGTATCAAAGATCATTTTGAAAAAAAAATGCAAACTCAGTAAGACAAAACTATTTACACACAACTTTACTAGCAAATAAAATATTACAGGTATTGTTATCTTGAATTTACATTTATGGTATTTAAAAAAAGTTGCTCACAAATATTTTATAAAACAGTTCTGACTTCTGAAAGTTGTCCAATGGAATATTTTTAACTTTAATCTGTCAGTTGAGACATCAGCCAAGCCTGTCAGTCAAGAAATGTTAGCATTCAATTCCAAACTTGTCAAAATTCCTCAGGATGATCCCTAAATGTAAGTGAACTTTTCCCATGGCAACAGTTGATAATGTAAACCTGTTGTTACCATTGTATACAAAGTCTGGGTCTCTCAACTGGGGTCCCCCACCAAGGAAAAACTGTGAAATCTGTTCCCTGAATGTCCCCTTTGGCATCCATGTTGGACATTCTATGTCATGAATTCCTGGTGACATGGGTATGTGACAGAAACCATATCCGTAAAGTTCATTTCTACCGTAACTGTCCTGATGCCAAACTTGGAAGTGTATTTTTGGCCAGCCTGAAAATGATTTATAGAAAATATGCATCAGCTGATATTTTACATGAACAAAAAAAAATCAATTATTGTGGTAATACAAATAACAGTAACTGAAATTATAATAAAAATAATAATATTTGCAATATTGTTCTCTTTGCTTAAATTAGTCTGGTTTTGGTCTTCAAATACCCAATCCCTCTAGTTCAACTGCACAATGTGACAGAGAGAGTACCTTGTAATCCTTTGGTGGCAAAGTGGATATCTATAGGATGGCACCAGTGTGTTATTTCATCATCCTGTGGGTTGTCCACCTGGGTTTGTCCTTCTTTCAACCCTGCCAGTACTCTCCAGGCACTACCTGCAAACATACCACATTAAGAATTATCTGTCATTGACAATTAGTGTGAGATTCCAGACACACTCTTACATGCATATGAAGTCTTAAGTGGAAATATGTGAAAAGAAATGGATGAAAATTGTTTGGCTGTTAAAACTAAGTTTTTCAAACCTTGTTATTATTAGATAAGTTTGCATAATATAACTTTTTCAAATCTGTTTCTTTCAGCAATATGACATAAATTTTCTTGGTTTAGTCTCACAACACAACTATTTTTTGCCCAAGTATCAATTTAGCACTAACTTTACATATTAGCTAAAGCTACTGTACCTGTGTGAATTCCCCATTTGCAAAATAAACTTTGGTCAGGAAAACCTGTGGCGCCAATCACCTGTCCAATCACATGGACTTCTGCCATCCCCAAACTGTTACAGGATATGTATGTATGTTGACTGTGCTAACTCTCCTGATATAAACAATTTGGGTGTCTTACATGTAATTACATTATAATTTATTTAGTAATTGCTGCACTAAAAACGGGACAATGTAAACTTAGACTGAAAACCAACCAGGATAACAAGGAATATTAGTATAAAAACCGCAAACCAATACAACTAACACAGTCGATTGTTAAAACAAATTTTTATGATTTTGTCATTGGAAAAGACAGTTCAGATTTGAATGACTAAATTACAGTATTCGTTTTCGCATTAAACTTACATAAACTTGGCCCAGGTTCCCTTGTTATCGTTCTATTCTTAAAACTTTACTAAAACTGCAGTTTCTCATACGACATTTTGTGAATACTGCACATCACCAGTACATATAATTGTTATTTTTTTCTGTTGCTGCAAATATGTTGTTAGTCACCTTCACCTTTCAAAGCGACGATAGAGGGCTCTTTGAAAGACAAGCTTATACTCATATACTGAGTATACTGGTGGTTGATTATATTTATTGAAATTATTTAACAAAAAAATGTACAATACTGGACAAAAATAAAAAATTGGCCCAAAATCATAATGATGATGACTCTTTTATGTCTATAGATATATTATGTGTCTTTCATTTTAGCGCCCTCTATTGTCGAATATATCCGCGCCAGATTTCAGCGGGAAGTTTTCCGTAGAGGTTTTGTTATTATTCTGATTTTTATGTACGATCTGCTATTTTGAACCAACAGATGAGCTGTATCTACTAACACCGAAAATTTGGCACAAAACTGGAATCCTCGGAAATGCTTGGAGCTCCAGAGCACGTTGTTAATGAGGTAAAGAGACCCGAGTGTTTTGGTATGCCCCGTACAAATTATTAATTATAATATTAGTCTTTAATTTTCTATGTTTTCTCAGTGTGGTGACCTTCATCAGTCAACACAAAACTAAACTGAAAAAAATTGAAAAAATCATCGAAAATCAAATACCTCTAATTTTGGGGCATAATTGTAAATTAGATTCTACCCATTAAAATTCTTAATTTACCTTCTGGATAACATTGAAATGTTTCAGTAAGTAAATTTGATTTGATGTTTATCATTTGAAATAGAAATAAAAGTAGAATAAGATGGCTATTCTATTTGTGCAACCACATTTCATCTCGGGATAGTTATTTGTCATTAGTAGAACAACTATTTATTAAAATATATGATACTATGGTTGGTAAATATGCCTCTGTGTAAAATTTCAAGTATATCTGTTGGGATGTTGAGTCCAAGTTTTGTTAGTAGGTTAACATAGTTGATATAATGGTGAGATTGTTTTTGTAAGTGGTTTTAATGTATGATAAAACAGGTGCCACTCCCTGGTGCTGCTGAAGATAGTGATGATGATGATGAGATTATCTTGAAGAAAACCAGAAAGACCATCAAACCAGCCATATTTGACAGCGATGAGGAGGATGAAGGTTGCCCACCGGATTCTTTAAAAGAAAATTTGGACCCTCAAGTCCAGAAAACTGACCAGGAAGAAGGGACAGGTATGCATTTTATGATTTGCTACATTTTCAGAATTTTAATTGATCAACATATGCTACCTACATATAAACTGTTAAAATGTTTTATACAGAATTGACATTGTTGGAATGGTTTTTCTCTTATATTATTCCTTTAGCATTCAGTTCAATTTATATTTTAGAACCCAAGGAAGATGCAGGTTCAGAGAGTGATCAGGAGGATAAATCTGAGAGTGATAAAACTGATGGTGATATTGAGATGAAAGAAAATGCAAGTTCTGTTACAAAGGTGTGTTTTTAAGGCACAGACACATTTAATAAAAACGGGACTGTATTGATGACAGTCAGTCAGAATAAACAATAATCACATGGTGTGCATTTGTAGTGCTTTCAGGATTATCAAATCTAGAAAAAAAATCTGGTGGGAGAGTGTCACAGAATTTTTTTTGACACTTGCCATTTCGAGCAGGAAAAGACTACTGAAGTTTATGCATGTTAAAGGGCATATTTGGCATTTTTAAGCACACGCCATTGCAAAAAAAGTATTGCTTAGTAAATGAGAAATTTATCGGAACACTGTGCCATATATGTCTCAATATTAGTAAATGAAAGCATTTGAAAGAGGCTGATGTATTTTTCAGCTGTCAAGAATTCTGCAGCCAGACCTGATTGATAGTGAAGGGGAGAGCGAGGATGAAGGAAACATAGGTGAAATTTATCTCCTTAAATTAGAAAAGTGGAAATAAATTATTAAAGATCAAAAGACTGTTTTGTTCAGTCAAGCAGCTTTTTAGGAAATTAATTTTTTTGAAAAGTAACCTAACTCTAATATCATTGACTCATGAACAGCTTATTTTTATATTTATTTATTAATATATAATATATTATAACACTGAGAAGATCGGTTCAAACTTTGATTTATTCTCCTTTTAAATAAAATTTTGATTACAGAAGCAAAAAGTCAGCCTCAGGAGTCCGATCAAAGTGAAAGTTGTGATGAGGAAGATGACCAACCAAACAAACCTCTTAATCCAAAATATAACTTAAAGGGGGTAAGACCTTACAAAATGCTTAAGACAAAAAAGATAATAATAGTAAATAATAAAAAGCAACCAAGTTTTACAAATTTATCAGATTAGATGTTCTGAGTGCATAAGGAAGTTTCTGTACATAAAGAAAACAAAATACCTTACCAATGATAGGTAGTGTTCATTTAGGATGGAATTTCTTGATAATTTTGATACTATTTTTTTCAGGGTGCTTCTAAAGTATCTGCTGGGGCAAGGAAGCAGAGTAAAAATAATCTTGATGTTCATAGTGAAACACAGAGAATAGTAAGAGGTATCTAAAATAATTTTTAAATTTATTTAGTTTTGAAAGAGATTTAATACTGAAAATAAATGTTATGAGAAAGGAAGGCAATTTTTCTGTATGATACACCATTTACTCATATTGACTCAAAATGATGTATGAACATTTCTTTATAGAGGTATATTGTAATGAATATCTGATGTTACTTAGTATGGGAGTAATCCTGCACTTATCGACCTATTTTTGTTGTAGCATAATACTTGACTGTAAATTGTTTTTCAGAATCAGCAGTGCGTATTCCCTATCACAAACCTAAACCTCTGTCTTTACAAGCCTTGCTTAACAAGACCCAGCAAAAACAGCAACAGCTTCAAGCAGTAAAAGGGCCATTGTGGTAAGTAAATATTAAGAAAATAGTCATTAAAAGTCCTCTATTAATGAGCATACGTGAGAAAGATTATGATGAATGCTTCTTTTTCCAATTTATTCTTTTGAATAATACTCATACCTTGGTACATATTTTTCAACTTGAAATAAAAAAAAAACTTAATGAAAATTTTATATTTTTCTTTTACTTGAAGTAAATTTTAATTATCACATTTTCAGGGTAAAAATTTTAAGACAGTTGTATAACAGTACTTATGATCTTGGATATAGTTTTAAACAGTTATACACTTGTCCGTTTAGGAAACTCCCTCCCAGTAAATTACCACAGATTCCAATGACAACTTGCCTACCTGATGATGAAGAGGAAAAGGTGGAGAAACCTGAAGCTGAAAACCAAAACACAGAGGAACAAATAACAGGAACATTATTAACAGACACAAATAATGACAAAAAAGAAAGAAATGACGTTGATGAAGAAGAATTACCTGATTTGGTTCAAACTGAGGGAAGAGCATGTGAAGAGCAAAGAGACCAGGGGCAATGTGAATCTAGTGATATTAATATGAAAGACAATGATTTAATGAGTGAACAGGCCAAAAGTGAGGTGGTTCCAGATCAACCTCTGTTAAATCCCAGATCATCTGACGCATTAATCAGTAGTGGTAACTCAGATAGTGAACCAAAAGAGTTGGACTCTGGAATTGAAATATCCCCTATTTCTTCTGAAGATGATTCCAACTGCTCAAATAAAGACCAATCTAAACAGACGCATACTCCCCAAGTAGTTGAAAATCTGGACAAGAACCCTTCTGCAAATGCGGACAAGTCCGTCAGCCTGACTCCTAAATCAACACAAAAAAGAAGTACCTTAACACCAAAATTGTCAGCACTACATGTTGATTTAAAGAACACACCTAAATTAAGTGGAGGTGCTGGGGCAGACTTTATAGACCTTGGAGAGGATGTGTCCTTAAAGGTGAAGCGCCCAGGTATAGACAAGTTGATGGAAAGGCTGATACAACATTCTGCAAAAAGGGCTGCTAAGCCCAAGAGAGAAATGGAAGTTAGGTATGTGTGGAAATGAAAATTTGATAAATGATCTTGTTGTTACTGCAGCTTTTCTTTTAGAGGTTTAATTGTTGTCTTATTGACTTATAAAAATGTATTTAGAATCATGTTTTCATACCCCATGTGAGATGTAGGTTTATGTGAAACTGTGGATTATCATAAAGGATGCTAAGATCAAGTTTACACAGTTGTAAGTTTACTGTTATTATTTGAATACATTGCAGCACCGTCACAAAAGAAGTCACAGGCAATAACCAAGAGGAATTAAAACTAAACAAATTCACCATTACTCTGGAGGCAGAGGAAGAACCAGATGAACTGAAAAAACCAGGTTAGAATGTAAAAAAAAATCATAAAATGATATTTATGACTTTAAGAGGGATACTTGAATATGTAAACATTTATCAGCATATAAAAATAAGGTATTTGGCATTGCATTTACTTGAATTCAAATTTAAGTTGCAACCTAAACAGTTTTGTTTATTATTTATTAGGGGCTAAACTTGTCAAATTAAGGGAAAAACTACAACTAGGAATTAAGGCAAAAAGGGAAGCTGCAAGACAACAGCGTCAGGAATTATACGAGCTGGAGAATGAGGAAGGTATTGTAAATCTGCTCAATTACAAATATGAAGGCTGTATTTTTGTTTTCAGTTTTGGCATTGACTTCACTGCATTCAAAAGTTGGTAAATTATAAGAATAGTTTGTAGGATGTTTCAGAAAAGATGATCATTTTTTGTTTCTAGTTATTTTCGATTTTTTCTCAATACCATATCAAGTAACAAAATGGTGCCATTGTCATGTTAACTAATTTCATTTTTGAAATTATTTTTTACAAAAATTCACTGTTGATAATTTAATTTTTGAAATAAAATATGCAACCTTGATACATATGCCTAGGTAATTTTCTATTTATTTATTTATCGAATCAACAATTCAACCCAAAAACCAACTTCACCTTTGTTAGGGTTTGATACATTTTGCCTGCCCACATTATTTTTTAGAAAAGTTAATTCTCAATTTGTTCGTTCATTCATTCATTCATTCATTCATTGGTTATGTGTCACTGGTCAGGTTACGAGGAGGAGCAAAATGAGGAGGAAGACCTAGAGGCCGAGTTGACAGACCAGACAGATACTGATGCTGAGGGGGATGAGGATGAAGAGGAAGATATGGAAGAGAATGAAGATTATCTGAATGATGATGAAAAGGACAGAGAAGTAAGAAATAAGTCATTGTGAAAGTCTAGGGTGGCTAAAATTGTGCTGAAGACCAAAAAAATTACAAAGTGAATAATAAAAGAATACTTTTATCTTCTTTCTCTCAACCATATGGGTTTCTTTATCAAATGGCATTGACTGTTAAACCTCTTCATTCATCTCCCTGGCTATTATTGTTTTGTGTTAAATCTGCCTCCATAAATTTGTTTTATTTATCACAGAGAAATCCATTTGTTGATGAAGAGGCTGAGGATGAAGATGAAGATGATGATGACATGATGGTAGAGGAGGAGGATATACACCTGCACTTGGACCTAGATGATGATAAAGAAAATTCTGGTAAATATTTATACTGTAACAGACTATTCTGTATAAACTGTTGTTGTTATTATTATTATTATTATTATTATTATTATTATTATTATTATTATTATTTGCTAAAATTTGATTATTCTTAAAGCAGTATGATCTGAGTCCTTGTTTAGATCTCCTTCTCTCGTTTTCAGATGCACAAAAAACAAAACCAAAGAAAAAGAAGTCTGAACTCAACAAATCCAAAACTATGGACCTCTTTGCTGACAGCGATGACAGTCAACCTCCCTTAGAAAGTGTTCAGAATGGTGAGGAATTGAAAACACTGGGGCCCTAATACACTGTTCTCTGGCTTTTTGTGCTTTAGGGCTGTTTTTGTACATGAGTGGTTTTATATTGAAAATTTTGGTATAAAACTTAAACTACTACTACTACTGTGCAAGTGGTCATAAATTACAACATTCAAGCCAGTTTCATTCCACCTTAAAATATAACTCTACTGTAATTGTAGGAAGAGACACGCCTACTTTGGAAGGGGAACTGATTAGTACACAGCCTGTAGAGGAAGATGTCACCCCACAGCATAAAGGTAATATATGGTAGAGTTTTTTTTTTTTTTTTTTCATTTATTTGTTCTTTTTTTGCTTATATTTAAGCTGAATATTAACTTTTATTGCCAGAACTATGATGCATGATAAAATGACTTTTTAATAGCATCTGAATCCAAAGTAAATGATACATGACATTTCCCCAGTATTCACATAGTAATTGCGAGCCAAGTGTTGCCTTAGGGTGCATTCACAATGTTCATATTGAACTAGGTAGATCGATCCAACTCCACTGAACACAATCAAATTAACTGAATGACCTGCCTTGAGCAGCAAGGGGTGTACCCTTAGTGTATGAGTGTATATATTCATATTATTCTTTATTATTATTATTATTATTATTATTATTATTATTATTATTATTATTATTATTATTATTATTATTATTTTTAATGTGATAAATTATTTGGTGATAATTCATGACATCATCAAACTTATTATTTCAGACTCTTTCCGCCCCAGTTTATTCAAAGATAAGGACACCAGCCTGAGCAGCGCTGACACCAGTTTTGAGATGATGGGCTCCATGATCCCAGCACACCAACCAGGAGGAGGGTTAAAACACACTGGGAACCCCGTGAAACCCCAAATAACCACCCCCACACTGCTCAGCAAAATACCGTCTGCTATATCAAGGGTAAGTGTTTTGCTCTTTTCTTGGTGTTACATTTGTAATATGGAAACTTTATTTTGAGTTCGACACTGGTTTTTTAAAAGAAAATGTTGTGTTTGGTATTATTTGTAAGTCTTTTGCTTTTGCTATGCAGTATATGACAGCAAAATGTCTGTTTTTGTAATGTATGTAATATTATATACTTACTGCATGAATTTGGACCTGGTTGTTAAAAATAAATTTATATAGTTTTTGATTATATGCATGTGCTTTATGTTATAACAAGCCAATCATCTTCTGTGGATTATGTTTAGATTTGTACCTTGTCATCACATGGATGATACTTTTGTGCTTACACAAATGAATATTTAGAAAGTAATTATGATTAGTATAACATTTCTCTATCTCTTACAGAGTAGCAGTAAACTGTCTGACTTAACACTCCCAGTGGAAGATTCTCAAGATTTGTATGGACCTATGCATACCCAGCAGGAGAATATCCAAGATTCACAAAATTTTCACTTTTCTTTGGACTATGATGAGTCACAGTCTCAAATTCTTGATGCAGATGGGTGAGGGCAAGTCTCTCTCTGTCTCTTTTTCTCCCTCTCTCTCTCCTTTACTTTTTCTCTCCCTTTGTTTGGCCTGAAGCAAAAATAGTGATAATAAATAAATAAATAAATAATTAAATCTGAATAAAAGCATGTCACTGCTTAGTTCTCTAAAATATTTTCAGCTGCAAAAACTGATGTGTAATTCTTCAATTTATTATTGCTTGTTTACTCCAGATTCTTGAAATTAGATCCAACCCAGAAAAAATCATCAAAGCGTCAGTTGGATCTTGGACAAAGTCAGAGTCAGGATAACTTTGATGAACTTCTTAACCTGTGTTCAGGTGGATTTGGTGAAGGCAAGTCAATTTTTTAGAAAACTTGATAAATGATTTAATAAAATAATACTAACAGTATGGGAGTCTACACGTAAAAATTGCAAACCAAAATATTGTAATTATTCTTAATATTATTAGGCTTGACAGTGATTATTTTTAGTATTAGTAATAGTCTTTAATAACATTTCCAGGCCCCCAGCAGTCCAGTCAGAAGGTGTCAAAGAGTAGGGGGATATTCAGTAAATTAGTGGCCCCCACACAGGATAACATGGATGAGTTGTTAGGACTCTGTTCAGGGCAGTTCAGTGGCAGGTTAATAACACTCATGCTTCATTGGATGGAGGGGGGAGGGCATTTGGGTTGGGAAGGGGGAACTAAATGTCTGCCTTGTACCTGCCCTGCGTATTCATATTTGTCTCATGTCTCTGAACAGTAAAGAGTAAGCTGTAAATAACAATTTGAACATGGTTGATAGGTGGAAGGGAGCTGAATATTACAGTTGATAGTTAGCTGTAAAGTTTGAACATGGTAGTAGTGGGGGTTAGAAGCTGAATATAAGCCTTTTAATTGAACTACTGTTCACTTTCCTTAAGAGTCAAAACTGTAACTGGACGCATCATTTTGTTTTTGATCAGTTAAAGGTTTCACAGTTATTGTAATGTACTCAAGATGAACCTGAAAACATTTTGAATTGTTTGCACAAATGATTTAATAATCAAAATAAGTGGTTGTTATGTAATATTTCCTTCCCATTCATTCGTTTAGGATCAAGTATTGAAGCACTAAATTGTTTTGAACTATGCTCTAATGAATGCCTTGTTTTTCAGTCAACAAGCAGCATCTCAAGTCACGGCATTGAAACCAAGTCAAAACAATAGTCAGTCTCAGAATGTGGGAAAGGTAATTGAGAAGGATGAGGATCTAGACAGTCCTCAAAAGCCCCAGCGAGTGGCGAAAAAGCGTAAAGCCGTGATTGAGGACAGTGATGAGGAAGATGGCGATATGGGGACGGCACCTTTTGAGATTGTCGAGGAGACCAACCTCTCAAACGATGGATGGGAAAAGGAAAAACAGGTAGTTTTTTGTAACTTTTGAACATGTTTTAAATGCCAGATATATTTTTAGCTTTTGAAATTATAAGTCTTTCAAGTTTCGGTTGTTGACTCTTTGTTTATAAGAATTCAAAGAAGGGAAGGTAAAAAAAGAAAATTAAGAGCGCCCCTGTATTCTTTCTTTTTGATCCTATTTTTCAAAGCTGCTTGGCTGCCATTCAGACACATTGATCTTCTACTGAACAATTTTATTACTCAGGATGACCTTGGTAGCGATGAAGAAGCAGAGGGTGGTCATGTAAGAGACAGCGAGGATGAAGATGATGATGAAATGCCTGTCAAGTTCTCTGGTTTTACCTACTCAAATCAGCATGGGTATGGGTTTGCTGTTATTGCTTTTGACATCATTCAGTCACTTGGCTAAGACATAGAAAAAGGCAGAACACATTTATCATGAACTTAATTTTTTTTTGGAATAGAGGTGTAGAAACTAGTTACAAGTGAGGGGTGTATATTATAAAGGGGAGAATCCTGCAGAGTGTCCCTATTGTCATCTACCCGTCCTCTGCAAGGTTGACCAAAAAATCACAGACTGCTCACGAATGTGACACGTCTCTCATGTATGTTAACTTAGAGGTCATGAAGTATTTTTTTTCAAGGCATTTAAGTTGAACTTGGTCACTAGCTTAATGGATTGAGGGATTGGAAGTACTAATTTAGTAAGTCAAGGAGTCATGTTTTTGTTTTTGTTTCAGGAAAATAAGAAAAGAATTTGTGGATGAGGAAGCTGAACTTTCAGGTACTGTATCTTTTTTTAACTGCAATTTATAAGCATTTGAATTTTGTGCTAATAACCAAACTGAACTTTGGTTAAAGAACATTTTGAAATTTATTCAGTTAATTTAGTCATACTCCATCTACATCTTGAACATTTTGTGCACTGGTGGCTAGATAAGACCTCAGAAAAACTTCTTAGCAACATACAGATCCATATTAACTAGTGTGAAGATGAAATCTCTACATAATAGATATCAGTCTCATACAATCTCCAAATTTTCACAAAGTCACACACTCATAACTTCTTTAGAATTGAATATTTTAACCACTCTGCCAAAGATACTATATAGTAGTCAGTTGCTTCACACAAGTGGCTGATGACATAGACTGTTTATTGGGTTGAATGTGACAGAGTATTTGGTGTGAATGTTGAAGCAAGCACTTGACTCCCTGTTTTACCTCATATTTCTCACAAGTGCTTGCGTCTGTCAGGAACCACTTTGTAAGCAAAAAAAAAAAAAACTATATTCTAAATATAATTGTATAAAGCAACTTGCCAGTTACTTCAGAATGTGGGTAACGGACTGTGATGCCTTCAGTTATTATTCTTATCTTTGAAATATTTTATAATCAGGGAGTGAGTATGACAGTGATGAAAATGTAGACCTGGATGAAAAAGATGACATAATGGAGCACGAGTCAGGAGATGAAGATGCTTTGCCAGATGATGAGGAGATCAGGAATCAAGTTGGAAGGGTACAGCTGTAAGTGTAGAGTATTCTTGAATTTGGGTTGATTTTTTTAAAACAGATAGATCCAATTAACACTGAAATACCATGGATAGATATGTAATATGTTTTGATATAGTTTTTTAAGTCCATTTAACTGAATATTAATGTGGAATAAAAACTTGTGTAATATTTTTGAATAAAATTAGATGTAATTGAAAGTTTACAAGGGAACTGAACTCACATTAGCATGTTAAACTTTTTGCAAAATTAAAAGAAAATGATAATATACCTGCACAGTATGACTGTAAATTATGTATTTCATTTTTTTTTTAATGCAATGAGGAATAATTTATGAATGAGTGTCAAGAGTGAAAGGATATGGGTAAACAAGAATATGCCTTTCCAGGGGCTGATCCAGAGATATTTTCTGACAGTCTTCCAAATTATCTTTGTTGATCCATCCTCCATTTTTGACTGTCTTTCAATAGAAAAAATTAGATACCCATCAATGTAAATTTGAAAAGAAGACTGCCTCAATCTGCCCCTGCCTTTCTGCATATTTAATTTATTTTCCTATTTTGTCTAGAAAACAAGCAATAGATGCTGACAAGAGGGAGCTGAGGTTACTGCAGGAGATGTACCTGCCTGATGGTGACCTCTACTCGGAAGGAGGGGGAAGAGTCCGGAAATTCCGATGGAATAATATAGGTCTGTGTTATTTAGTTATATTTAAGTTTTTTCTCAAATGTGATATTTGTTTCGGCTGGAGCTTCTGGACCTGGAAAATCAACAATCTGACTGGTTTCACACAGGGTTCATACAGTCTTGAAAAGTGCTTGAACTTTGTCCTTCTCCTTGAATTCAGTTTGTGCCGGAAAAGTACTTGAAATTGCTATTAACCTTGAAAAGTCCTTGAATTTGATCACTCAGCAATTTTCCAAAAAATTATTTCAAATATTTTGGGAATATGGACAATACTTTGTAGAAAAGGAAAAAAACATTTTGGACATCATTTAATTTAATTCTTTTTATGTTTCATCAATGTGTTAAAACACAAAATTTATATAAAATATCTTTTTCTTTGGTATGTACACTTATAAATGTCAGCACAGTGCCTTCATTTGCCTTCAAGTCCTTAAAATGTAGTTGAACTAGAACCCAGAAAGTCCTTGAATGTCCTGGAAATTGTTCTGAATGTTCCCTGCCACAAGTCCATCCAAGCACACCCCTGCAAGAGATGTTTTTGATTCTCCAAGATTTGCTAGGGATTTGAACGACTGATTATAAAGAGTAAGAAAGCAATGTGATGAAGCTACATTGCAAAAAAAAAAAAAAAAAAAAGTGTCTCCTAAAAAAGTGTTTTTGTAAATATGTACAGATTTTGTCAAGNAAAAAAAAAAAAACACCTTGTTTACTACATTTCCTGCAGCTTGTCACCCACAACCATACAGGTGTGCCCCACTTTCTTTTTCTTTCCCATACAAATGCGCTTACCCCAGCTGGTGGTACAATATCAGGAGGCGGTATCGCCTCTCTGATCCTCTAGTTTATTTTCCTTTTTTGTCTAGAAAACAAGCAATAGATGCTGACAAGAGGGAGCTGAGGTTACTGCAGGAGATGTACCTGCCTGATGGTGACCTCTACTCGGAAGGAGGGGGAAGAGTCCGGAAATTCCGATGGAATAATATAGGTCTGTGTTATTTAGTTATATTTTAGTTTTTTCTCAAATATGATATTTGTTTCGGCTGGAACTTCTGGACCTGGAAAATCAACAAGCTGACTGGTTTCACACAGGGTTCATACAGTCTTGAAAAGTGCTTGAATTTTGTCCTCCTTGAATTCAGTTTGTGCCGGAAAAGTACTTGAAATTGCTATTAACCTTGAAAAGTCCTTGAATTGGATCACTCAGCAATTTTCCAAAAAATTATTTCAAATATTTTGGTTTTTAACCTGAATATGGACAATACTTTGTAGAAAAGGAAAAAAAAACTTTTTGGACATCATTTAATTTAATTCTTTTTATGTTTCATCAATGTGTTAAAACACAAAATTTATATAAAATATCTTTTTCTTTGGTATGTACACTTATAAATGTCAGCACAGTGCCTTCATTTGCCTTCAAGTCCTTAAAATGTAGTTGAACTAGAACCCAGAAAGTCCTTGAATGTCCTGGAAATTGTTCTGAATGTTCCCTGCCACAAGTCCATCCAAGCACACCCCTGCAAGAGATGTTTTTGATTCTCCAAGATTTGCTAGGGATTTGAACAACTGATTATAAAGAGTAAGAAAGCAATGTGATGAAGCTACATTGCAAAAAAAAAAAAAAGTGTCTCCTAAAAAAGTGTTTTTGTAAATACCGATTTTGTCAAGATGGAAGGTCTACTCTTTGTTATATGTTGTCCTCCTTCAGATGAAGATGACACCCAGCAGGACATGTTTGGCGGTCAGTCAGATGATGAGAACCAAAACGAGGAGGAAGGAGAGAACGAGACAAGATGGAGAATGGAAAGATATGAAAGAGAGAAATGGATAGAGGAGCAAAAGGTGATCTTTTTACAGCAATTTAGATAAAAAGTGAATAAAAATGATTATAAGAACCCATTGTGGCCTCTGGGTTATAAAATCTGTTGTTTTTTTTTTTTTTGTTTTTTTTAAATCTATTTGACTTAAATTCAGTGTTTCACTTTTTAAATGACTTTTTTAATGCACTGGCTTTTGAAAGTAAAGCTTTGGTGATTGATAATTCAATTTGCCTGCTGTGCTTGTATTGTGAGACTATCTTGTTTCACTATCAGTAAGAATTTATTGACTTATCGGTATGTCATTAGATTCTTGAAAATTATCAAAATGATGACATGGTGAACAACAGTTCTATTATCTTCATGTGTTATAGTTACAAGAAGAGGGAGTGCGAGAAGATGAAAGTAGCCAGTTAATTAAACTTGGACGAGCTGTTCTGAGGCCTAAGAAAGGTAATTAACACCTGGTGCAGAATTTGTGCTTCATTAGCATTTATTTGGTGTCCTTATATTCCTTACTGATTTTTTAATTTGATGTTCTTGTGGATTCATTTAAGTTCAAATTTTGTCCTGAAATTGTTCATCCAATTCTCTGTGAATAATGTATTCATAATTGCTACGGAAGAACAGCAGAGTTTAACGCATTTAACAGATTTGGTTTATCAACACTCATCTGATTTTCAGTTTGTGCAGGAAGCAGTGTGAAACCACCGACAGTGAAATCTAGCAAATCAAGTGAGAAACATCCCACTACACCCAAAAGCTTGAGTAAAATTGGGGTAAGGTCAAGGACATTCAAGACTGAAACTTTACAGCAAATTTGCCCTCTGTAGTTAAAATGGATGACACTTATTTGTTTTCTATATTAATGCTTTTAAAAATACTGAATTTTGTGGTTTTCTGTTTTCCTCGAAATATTGAAAATAGAGGGTTTTGTAACATTGAAGAATATTTATTAATATAAGTATTGTTCTCAGACATTGTCTCATCTTCTCAGACATTTACGCAAAGAAGAAATGGCAGTACTAATGAATAAGTTATTTCTGTTCAGTTTTTATAATTAAAGAAACTGCTTTTTGAAATGTGAAAAAGTTTTCCTCTCATTACCTTTAAAATATTACGATCTTTTCTTCAATTCCAGCACTTAAGAAGAGGCTCCTTTATGGGTAGAAACAAGGAAGTGTTAGCTCAGATTGCTCAAACAGTAAAACCAGTCACAAATCCACAGGGGCCTAGAAATTCTCGGAATTTTGTATTTGCTGCCGTTTCCCCAGAACAAGAGAAAGAAAAACCACAGGTAATTTTTTTTCCATTTGTAATAAGATGTTTTTTCATTTTATCATCGCCCATCTCCTGTTTTACTGTAGATTCCAGTTGTTATGGTTCCTTTTTTACTTTATTTCCAGCCTGTGAGAAGATCAGTGAGTTTGGGTGGAAGCAATGGGCCAAATCCAAAAAGACTGAAGCTTGATCAGCCATCTTCTTTCTCTCAAGACAGCATTTTTAATTTACTTTAATATCTTGTTAACATTGCTTGCATTTTGATGTCTGTGAGCCCTTTATACCAAGATATTAAAATGAAAGATCTTATTTTAGCAGGTACTGTAATTAAATGTAATTTGTTAGCAAAAATGCAAAAAACTTGTCAATACTTTAAAAAAAGATACATCAGATTGATCAAAAATTGGGCACAGATAACAATAAACCAATCCAAAAGTGTCGGATAAGAAGAAATGGAAACTGTACCAGTTTCAGTTTGTCAACCTCCAGCAAGGCAACACTTAAGATTGAAATAGCTTTATATTAACAGCAACTTCCAGGTGTAACCGAGTTCTCAGCCTGTTTTAATTCAATTATCACATCAAGGAACTTTGCCATTCCTTTACCTTTAAATTTAAAAGTGCACGGTGTAAGATTTTCCCATGAAAAACTCAAAAGTTTTATTTTAATTCTCAATTCAAGATATGCCCACTCTGGTCAATGAATGACCAGGGTCGTTGCTTTGGTTGTAGTACTCATGAGATGATAGCCAGTAATAAGATGGCAGGCATTAATTTGTTGAAAAGCGACAGATTGTTTCTGAAAATTGGGTAGGAGAGTTGATTATATGTATTTGAAAAAGAATGTAAAGTTATTTTTTAATTATATCACATATGTATGTATTAGAATTCTATCTTGTAAACCCAAAATTTGGGTTTGGTTATAACAGAAGTTGTATATAATTATGTATTTATCTGAGCAGACTTTGTTGTAACAAGAAAGTGCAAAATGTGTTAAATAAAATGTTTAAAAAATGAATAATTATAGAAAGGTTTTCTTGGATTTTGTCTTTCCTATTATATATCCTGTTTGTATGCCTATTCTACAAGACGTAAGGTGCTTGAGACTAAATTTTTTTCGTGGCAGATCATTAACTTGATGCAAAATAATAAAAAAACAGCACTTTAATATTGTAATGGTCTAAAAACTAGAACATTGATGGAGACAGAAGGGGGGTGTTTGCATAATACTTATTAATTGTGAAACAAAAGAAATAAAGAAACGTACCAGTGAATGGCATAGAATCATATCAACTGAAAAAAATTTTTTTTAATGATTAACTGTTGTACATGCTGATATCCCAAAATCTTCATAGACCAGAACTTAAAGTTTTTTATTCTGTTTATGAGTAGCAATATGTAAAAATGTATAATATACAGGCAGCGTACCTAGAGTTTAATTTTTTTAATATTCCTCTTATTAAGGTCTAAATCTTATAGTAATAATAAACTAAAAGGGAAGAACAAGTAAAACACGAGGGATGATCACTATCTTTATTCAGTTGATGGTTTAAGGAATCTTAAAATGTTAATGAATGTATAAATTAGTGTTTACCATGTGCTGGCTGTATTTTTCACCAATAAATACATTTTAAGGGAGTGTCAGCTATCATGTGCAAAAGCTGACCTTTTCTTATATGTTTTTATCTGTTTAACGTGCCTAGCCCAGCTGGTGTTACAAACCCTGGAGGTGGTATCACCTCTCTCATCTAGTTAGATTGCACTGTCTCCTTTTTCACACATATTTTCACACACACACTGATAATCAGATGAGTGTTTATGAATCAAATCCGTTATAGGCTTTTAAACCCTGCTGTTTATCCTTAGCAACTTGAGAAACATTATAACAGATAAATTACAGATTATTCATTATATATATCATAAAGTTATATATAATTTTAAAAAAGAAGGAAAATTATAATCACTTCTCATCTTCTCTTCTAATTTGACAGAGAAATAATTTTTAAACTTTAATCTAAGCATGAAAAATACATAATTGACGAACTAAATTCTGACATGTGCAGTGTGCCGATTTTGAAATAATATCTAGAAGATTCTGATAGTTGCGTTTAGCAGTCTTGCTGTGAGCAAAACACTCTCAGGCCAATTTGCAAAATCGCCTTTAGTGAGTTTTGGGTATTATCAGCTTGGCCCAAAAACTTTTTTGTGAAAATAGTTTTTTTCTGATTTGGTCTGATTTGTAAGTTACCCGACTTCTGGTCCGTCTAAGACTGGATTCTCATCCCTAGATCGATCTAACAGGATCGGTCCATCTCCACGGGGTCCCTCGCTAAATTGCTTTCAGCCCAAGCGGCTTAGACGTCTGTGACGCCCACTAAAGCAGCTAAACGATAGTTAATTACCCCTTATCAGCCTCAACAGGCGTGACAGACATCTAAGCTGCCCAAGTTAATTGCAATTAAGCGAGAATTCCCTCGGAGATAGTTCGATCCAAAGTAAGTGCGATAGTCTCTGGGACTGGGTTCCCATGCCTAGATCGATCCATCTGGCTTGGTCTAACTCCCTGGGAAGTCTCACTATATTGCTATCAAGTTAACCGGCTTAAATGTCTGTCAAGCCTACCGAATCAGCTACGGGGTAAAGATAATTACCCCCTAGCAGCTTTACTAGGAGTGACAGACATTTTAGCCGGTTCAGTTGATAGCAATTTAGTGAGACCCCACAGGGAGATAGATTGGTCCAAATATCTGTGGGAATGGTCCCCCATGGCAATGATCTCTAAAGTTATTTTGTGGAACCGACCTCTGAACAGCCCGAACAGCGTGCCTTGGGTCAGTTACTAACTCTAGTGTGTCTCCTAGACGTTGACCTTCAGTTTTTTATTACCTACTGTAGTAATAGGCCATAGAATTTTTCTTCTTCTTGTAAGATAAAAATCTTTATCATCTATCATTTACCAAACCGAGGTCATTTCTTTCCCATGTATTGCGCGGTCTAGGCTATTTCACTTGAATAAATAGAAACAAAGTGCTGAGAACATCTAGTTTTATTTAATATCACTTGCTTTTTGTCGCTTTTTTTCCATGTACCACACTCACCTGTATACATAAGCAATATCACTGTCAATATATACATTTTTGTGTCTAATTTAGCTATCAGTGCAGTGGCGTGCTCTGCGTATTCATGAACAGAAAAGCGTCAAGAAAGCAAGCATTTGATGGTCTACATGTATTTTGTATGTTACTCGAAAGTTTCCGCAATGATATATTCTGTTATGTGGTTGCAAATCCCATGATACTATTGAGACTTTGGATAATTTGTTGATTTATACTGTTGCATGCTACAAAGCCAGTGCTATCTTTAAAACAAATGATCCGTAACAAAATAATTCAAAAATAGTTCAAAGATATTCTGATCGATTTTTATGCATTTGTCAGTTAGTGATTTGAGATGTTCATGGAATTTGTAACAGTTGTGCCGCACAATATATAAAAGCGATTGAACGTTAAAACACTTGCAATGCAAGCGAAGAGCGGGAGACCCATATGCAGACATCGCTATTTGAAGCTTTGTGGTTTATTTTCCTTTTCAGCAGATACTTATACGGGATTAAATTATCAAAGCAACGTGAAGGCCTACTATTAACCTGTACAAAAGGCTGATAAAAGCAAAAGAGAAAAAAGTGACTTGTTTGAATTTCGCATAGAAAAGAATCAAATCCCCTCAAAGGAGCGTAGAAAAACTAATACCTGAATTAGAGAGTTCAGTTATTCTCCAGACATAATATTGGTTTCCATAATAAATCGCACTGTCATTATTTTAGAAAAATAACACCACAATCAAGATTATTGTTCTGCGAATGCATTCAACGTAAATCAACAGGTTTTCAATGTGATAATGACTGCATTGACGTATGTTCAGGAGAACGGTTGTCGGCTTCTTTTTTGTTTTTTATCAATGGATGTCATTGGAGATATAGCTCAATGAAAAAAATAGGCAAACATCCAAAAAGGCTGACAGACGCGTGTGTGTGTGTGTGTGTGTGTGGGGGGGGGGGGGGGAGGACTTCCAAAAGATCATGCCCCAGCACCCGTAAAAATTTAGTGTACTACTAAGCAAAAGTGCTTTACTTGCGTCCTGCGATCACCTACGTCTGAAGCTCAAACCACGTGAATGGAGAACTAATTGAAATAAATGGAGTCGATGTAATAACGCATGGTTTGAATAGAAAATGATACTCCCATTTATAAATTCAAAACCAGAAAATCACTTTTTCATATTGCATTTGCAAATTGATAGCCCCCTCGTGACCATTCATTTATTGTCATTCCCTTCATGATCGCTGCGACGCTCTCGCAGTAAAAGCCTATTTTCATTTATTGAAGATTCCCCACACAATCGCAGAATGCACTTAGCAATGTTTATTTAACGTAATGAAAATCTACGAGTAGCGGGGAAAGATTTCCTAGGAGCGTATTTTATCTGCCACAATTTTCCAGGCCTCGCTGAATAATAACGTAGGAAATTACCTAACAGCGAGACTCATTAAGTACCAGGAGAAATGAATGGATCACTACTAGCCAAGGTCAAAATACAAATTGGCTATTCATTTCGCGTGATCTAATAATCGTTATTATTTTTTTGAAAGAAATGGACGAGAGAATCGGAAATGTGACGGCCTTGTTGTTAAATCAACGTTGGATACAAACATTTCCATTTAACGCTACTATATGATTTTATTGAAGGTCTGTTTTTTGTAGAATTCCATAGGTTGGAAGGAAGGAATGATGCAGGGGCAGACTGGAAAAGTGACATAAAACATAACTCTTTACTGAGTAAAAATGATATTAAACCTGGCATAAAATCCAAAGATAGTGATAATACTATTGGCTTTTTCCTTTGTGTTGCTTGCTGTACAGTACTTTTATTAAAATCTAGCCTCAAAAAAGTAATTTCCCTGAAACCTGAGATGCGAGGATATTGCCTACAGAATTGGCGTAACAGAAATCCAGCGAGAGTCACCTACAGGCGATTTTATTTTAAGACAAACACAATGCATGATCGTGGCATATCTAGCCCCGAGCTTTGGGTACACTTTATAATCGGTAGATTTTTTCCAGGACCAGAACTTCTTCTAAAAATAATCACGCTATGCACTAATATTCACGTAGGTCCGTTGAACATACCAATGGTGACGTAGCTTAACACTATGACAACATCATTGTAACGCGCTGATGCCGTAGCATTACCAGTAGCTGCAACTTTTTACATTAATAGGGCGTTCTATACATACAAGTCACTTCATCATTTCAACCTTCAAAAACGGACACCGGGTGGTCGGGTAGCTTAAACTTGTTTTCTGACAGTTAGAAGTTATGTTAAATACACAATGTACATAATTATCAATATCATAATTATCAAGCGACAGACAATACTTTACGAACAATTTTTCTTAATTATGATAGAGTCTAGGTGTTAAAGAAAGAAAGGAAGGAAACTGAACTAAACATTTGCATCAGTTGATTAGCCTGGAATTTTCACCTGTGAAACTCCTAGAAACTGTTCCATGATAAACATAAATACATAAAAAATACAGTGAAAAATAAGTTGAATATTCCTCTTGTTCTAATCTAGCATGAAAGTAATTCGATATCTTTGCAGACTTTGCACAAGTCTGTAGCTGTAGCATTTGCGAATTAACCCAAATTGGTTGCAATCCCTTTCAAAGCCGCGTCAAATATCACCTGACTATGTAATGTAACTGTGGCAGTGAAGACCAAAAAGAAAGCCATAAATAAAGAAACCATATCAAAAAAAGTTACAACAAAATGGGAAAATCAAGTTATAGAACAAGTTCACTGTATTAATCAGTATGTAATTTGACTTGTTCTTGCGTTTTTCACAATTGTTTTCCTCTCTGACTACATGGACTTCCAATTTCAGATAAGTCACATTATCTGACACGCAGTCCGTTCCTGCTCTTTTCCGTTTCGGATGACGTCATAACGCGAACAGCTTTTC